AGAACAAAAAGGGAAAAGAAAAAAATGTGAGAGAATGAAAAGATGAAAATAAAGTGTTTGTAGATGGGGAGGGGAGGAGGGGGTGAAGGGAGGGCAGAGGTAAGGGGAAAAAAATGAGAATCAAGACTTGCCATGTAAAGGTACATGATTCCAACAATGAATGTACTGTACTGCATCCCTAAATGTACCAATAAACTCAATTAAAAAAAAAAATTCATATGGAATTTCAGAGGACCTCAGAGAGTCAACTAGTCTTAAAGGAAATAAACAACAGTGGAAGTCTTAGATTCCTGTGCAACTTTCAACCCAGCCGAGGGCAGCTTAGCAAGATTCTGTCTCATAGTAAAAAATAAAAAGAAAAGGCTGATGATATAGCTCAGTGTGAAGACCCTGGGTTCAGCCCCTAGTACTGGGGTTGGGAGTCAGTGGAATAGAATAGAAAGCCCCAAAGTAAACTCTCATATATCAAGTTAATTGACTTTATCAGGGCTGCCAAACCATTTGACAGAGAAAGACATAATTTTAAACAAAAGGTGTTAGGAAAACTAGACACCCTTAGGCAAAATAATGAAGTTGAGCCTTCACTTTATGTTTTATATAAAAATGAAATCAAAATGAGTCAAATACCCAGACTTAAGGCTAAAACAAAACTCCTTACAAGAAAACAGAGAGGAGGACAATCTTTGTGACAATTTTAATGCTAATGATTTTTAAAATATAACACCCAAAGCACAGGTAACAAAAGCAAAAAACAGATGAATTGTGCCAGGGATTTAGCTCAGTGGTTCCTCTGCCTGCCTCGCAATTGCAGGGACCTGAGTTTGATTCCTGGTACCAAAAAAACAAACAAAAAAACCCCAGATGAATTGGAATCCTCAAAATTAAAAACTTTTATTAAAAATTGTGCACAAAGTGAAAAAACAATCCAGAGAATGGAAGAAAATATTTGTAAATTGTATGTCTGGAAGGGGATTGATATATAGAATAGTCATGTGTCTCAAATGATATTTTAATGACTTCTGGACTGCACATATCAAGTATCAAGATTATAATGGAGCTGAAAAGTTCCTTTTGCCTAGTGATACAGCCATCTTTAAAAATGATAGTGCAAAAAAAAAAACATAGTACAGCTCTTTATTCACATTTGTGGTAATGTCGATACAAATAAAACCTGCACTACCAATCAGATGAAAGTATAGTGCACGCACACACACACACACACACACACACACATATATATATATATTTTTTTTTTTGGTACTGGGGATTGAACTCGGGTCCTTGCGCTTGCGAGGCAGGCCACCAAACCGCTGAGCTAAATCCCCCAACACATATATTAATATAGTAATACTTGCTAATGAGAATAAATGACTATGTTGCTGGCCTGTTTTTTACTATACTTTTTTATATTTTTTGGGGGGGGTACCGGCAATCAGACTTGGGTCCTTGCACTTGTGAGGCAGGCAGCAGAATATCATTATTTTAAACTGTATTCCTTGTTTTAAAAAGTTTACTCTGAAATGGTGCTTCCATTTGCTGTATTCTCTGATTATATCAAAAGGCCATATCAAGTGATTGACCTGTACTGGTGAGGGCAAACCTTTTAGAGACCAAGAACCTGAACTGCAATCCAAAACCCACTTATTTATTACCCAGTGCCAACATTACAGTTAAACCCAAATACTAAGTGTTAGTTTAGAAAAAACAACTGTTACCTGATGCTTGGCTGCTGGGGTGACTTGGCTCGTGTGCTGACAGAGAGGGCTCTGTGTGCCCGCTGTGGCTCACATTCCTTAGGTTCACCCCCTCTGACCTGCAGTATGTAGGCTTGTGTATACATGCTGTATGATATTTGCACAATCATGAAATCAGTTAAAGATTCCCTTAGGACATATTCCTGTTGTTAAGTGTTACACAATTGTAAATAAAGAACTACAACTAAACAAAAAGCAAATAATAGAATTTTGCAATGGGCAAAGTACTTGAATAGACTTTATACCAAAGAAAATAAACTAAAGTCCATTAAGCACCTGAAAATATAATCAGCATGGACCAGGAATGTCACTCAGTAGTGCAGCATCTGCCTGACAAATAAATGCAAGTCCCTGAGTTCGATTTCCGGTAATTAATTAATTCAGCATCATTAATCATTAGAGAAATGCACATAAAACCACAGTAAGATGCCATTTCATGCTGTCTGTGATGAGGGAATATGATAAAGATCGTTCATACGATGGCTATAACTCAAAACAAATAGTAATTATTTTCAAGGAGTGGACAAATTAGAGCCCTTGTGCATTGGTGATAGAAATATGAAGTGGTTCAGGTGATGTGGGTGACAATTTCGCATTTCCTCAAAAGGCTTAATGTAGCACATACTACTATATCATACTAGAAATTCTACTTCTATATTTATAGTTAAGAATGGAACAGAGGCAGGGCATGGTGGTGCATGCCTGAAATCCTAGAACTCAGGCAGGAGGATCATGCAAGTGTGAGGCCAGCCTGGTCTACAGGGTGAGTTAAAGGCCAGCCTGAAATGTATAGTGAGACCCTGTCTCAAAAAACAAAAGACTGGAAGAAGTAATTGTATCCTAATGTCCATAGCAGGATAATCACAGTTATCAAAAGTTAGAAATACAATAATGTGTTTTTGTTAGCAAATGAATGGATAAACAGAATGTAGTATAATGCATACAATGAAATATATATTCAGCCATAAAAAGGAATAAAATACATAGTACAACATGGATTCACCCCAGAAACATCCTCAGTGGAATAAACCAGGCATAAAAGGACAGATAAGAATTTATTGTTTTAACACTTGAAACTGATTTGTTTCCCTGAAACATGTAGCATCAATTCACATGAAAAAAAACGTATTTTAATAAGATTGAATGAGTTAGTTGACAATAAATCAAATGTAGATGATTTAATTTTTTTCTTTTTGGTACCAGGGATTGAACTCAGGTCCTTGCGCTTGCAAGGCAGGCCACCAAACTGCTGAGCTAAATCCCCGGCCCGATGGTTTAATTATTTTAATTCTTTTTTATTTACCTTTTTGTGGTAATGGATGTGAATTATTGCAACCTGTTTTTTACTTGTTAGTAAATATATATTTGAGCAAATCAATAGTGAATGTTACATTTATCAAATTTGGAGTAGAAACATTCTTTTGTTTTTATTTTTTGAGGCAGGGTCTCACTGTGTAGTCCAGACTGGTCTTGAACTCACGGCGATCCTCCTGCCCCGTCCTCCAGAGTACTGAGATCACATGTGTGCACCACCACACCCAGCTGAGAAACATTTTTTAAAAAATTCTGGAAATGATAATTGGTGATGATTGGATAACATTTTGAATGTACTTAATACTACTGAATTGCACATTTTAAAATGGTTAAAGTGATGGGTTATAGTGGTGCATGCCTGTAATCTCAGTAATCTGGAAGGGAGAGCCAGGACAGAGGAAAATTCAAGCCCAACTTAAAGACTCAGTAATACATGGGTGGGCTATTTCACGGTGGTTCCAGTGCCGCTTGTCTCACAAGCACAAGGTCCTGACCCAGTACCAAAAAAAGACTGGGGAAAGATACAAAACCCCTGAGTGTTGAATATGTGTACCATGAAAACAAAGAATGAAAATTAGATTTAAAATAGTAAGTTTTTGTTACAGTTTACAAAAAAACATAAAAGCAATCTTTGATACAAATCCAAAACAAATTTACACTATTATTTTAGCTTAAACCATATACTTAATGTGCTCCAAATTTTAGTTCATGTTGGATTGGAATAACTAAATATATTATAAAAAACTCAATGCTTTAAAATTTGGCATTACTCAAGAGTTGAAACCACTTTTTGACCTAGTTCTTGGTTCTTTCTTAATTGCAGTGTGTAATGCACCTTGAAGATCGGTTGCAGGAGCTGTACTTCAAGAGCAAAATGCTGTCTGAGTACTTGAGGGGGCAGATGCGTGTTCATGTCAAGGAGCTGGGAGTGGTTCTTGGGTATGTTCATGGTTTCTTTTCTGACTTTGCTTTCCCATCATTCAGTGTTTGTGCACAGAATGTTCTTTAGAATTTCCCTTTATCTTTTTTAAGTGTCTTTTTCTAATAGAAGCTAGACACTCATAATTTAGGCTACTCTGTACTGTACAAAAAGCACATTTCTTGTTATTCATTGGTCTTGAAAGGCATCCCTTGTGCCATTACATATAGTATGTTGTGACTTAGTCTGGGTGAATTAAAAATCTACATTTTTATCTTAGAAAAAATAAGAAAATATTCATGATTAAATATGTTGTAAACTCATTATTCCAAGCATTGGCCTTGCCTTCCAGATGAGCTGATGGAAGTAATGGTAATCTATGCGTGGTAGTAGTTATCTATATCTTACTACTCCTCAGCATTAATTATATTTTATATGTGTCTACTGTTCTTATTATTACTTTTTGTGGTTTTGTTTTTGTTTTTTTGAGTTGGGGTCTGGTTACATAGTCCAGGCTGGCCTTGAACTCACTATGTACCCCAGCCGGACCTTCAACTCATGGCACTCCTCATGCCTCAGCTTCCTGAGTGCTAGGATTACAGGCATGCATCACTATGCACAGCTTCTGCTATTAACTTTTGGAAGAAAATAATTATCCAAAATGCTAACTGGAAGAGGAATAGGAAGTTGATGGAGGGCAAAGTATAACCCTATTTCAGTATGATCTATAATCACTTTGTGTGTTATCTACTAGGTGTATGTTTGAGTCGTGTCTTGAAATGCTAGTTGGAAGAATTTCATTATAATTTTTATCTAACCTGTGTGTGTATGAGAGAGAGAGACGGGGGCACCACTGGAGATTAAGCTCATAGTCTGGCACATGCTAAGTGCTCTACTACTAAGCTACATCTCCGAACCTTTTTTCCTTTTTTAAATTTGTATTTTGAGGCAAAGTCTTGCTAAGTTGCTTAGGCTGTGTTTGAACTTCCGATCTTCCTGCCTCAGCCTCCCAAGTAACTGGGATATAGGGGTATGCTACTATGCCTGGCCCAGTGTATATTTCAGTTTCCTTTTTTTTTTTTGCTACTAAAAACAATGCTAGAATGAATAGAAATCTTTGATCTTTGTAGGATAAATTCCTACAATATAAATTTTTAGTGAAACAGCATGTATATTGTTTTTAATAGATACAGATAAATATTTTGATAGTTGATTCTGAAGGCCATCCAGGAATCTTTGAAAGCTTCTAGCTAAAAGGTGGCATCTGATTTTATATTACTTTAAAGATGACTTAAACTGGAGAAACTTTATTTTTGGCCATTTTCCCTTTTCCATAAATTACTTGTGGTAAGACGTATCTTTAGATATATCCAGCACTTATTTCAGTATATTGTACAATAGAAACATTTTTAGCCAAAACAGTCTGCATATACACTATTGTTTTATTATTATACTAGATGGTACAATCATACCTTGGTACCTAGCTGCTTTGAAACTCATTGAATTTGCATTTGTCCTGGTACTTAAAAGTTTGTTGATTACTTGATGTGAAAACTTGAACTTTTCCATGTTGATTGCTTCATGACTTGCTACCCTTTCCAGCCAAAACAATTTACTGCTTTGGTACTCATCACTTTTGGTGCTTGTCCTGCCTTCTAGAGCTAATTAATGAGTACCAAGGTACTGTGTCAACAGATGAGTGGGATGCTTCCCTACATCCATGAACTTTGTTACCCTTGAGGTTAGCAGAGGCATTTCTGTCTTTTAAATCTGGTTCTAAGGTTCTACTTACTGGAAAATTTCTGACTTTTGTTATTTTCAGCTCTTTTACCTTTTGGCTAGGCTGACACCTTAACTGCTGGGTATAGTGACCTTATGAGCAGCAGTCACTCCCTGTAGGATTAATCTTCTGAATTCAGAAAGCTGAACCGAGTTTTCTTTATTTCAGGATTGAATCCAGTGATCTTCCTCTTCTGGCTGCTGTAGCAAGCACTCACTCTCCATATGTTGCTCAGATACTCCTTTAACATGTCTAAAGGTTCATTTTGGTGGCAAGTTAAGTAGAAACGGAGGAAGCCGGCACTTATACATAAATCCAACATGCATTTATGGAAAAAAAATTTTTCCCCTCCGTTAGACTTCCATCTGAATGAGTCCATCTTGTGGGTATCCTGTATTGCATTGCATGTCCTGTGTATATAGGATGGCTTTTCTTTTTAACTGGACTCCTGGGTGATGGTAGATTTTTAACTATGTCAGACTAAAGCAGGATAAACAATTTGGGGTAAGGGCATTTGAAAAAGCGAAAGTATAAAAATTCTACAGAAATTTCTACAAAATAATATTAAGGCATTTTACACAATGTTGTCACAACTCCTAAGTACCAAGAGCTGCCTCATGATTAAATGGCACAGAAAATGTCATTTTGTTAAATTTTTCTTTATTTGTAAGTTACATATCTCTGTAAAACTTTGATTGTTATTTTGTTTTGCACTTCAAAACAGCTAATTTCTGGTTATTTCTCAAGTATTGTAAACAGTCCGTTAATTACAACATACTGAGAATAATGAGTAAAAATGTATATTATCTGCCCAAGTGTACATATGTATCTATTTTTTTAAAAGCAGAGGTAGAAATACATGACTGGTAAAACATGCCTTTTTAAAAAACATTTTCAACTAGTATTAATTGTACACAAAGTTGAACTATTGCTCTCTGGTGATTTTTGTTTCTCACACACTAAAATACACATAAAGCCAATCTTTTTTTAAGGCTGAGGATTGTAGATTCCCAAAATCAGAATACTACTTTATACCATTTGTTTTTAAGTATGCACTAATTCTTATAAATGTTAATATTTACATATTCAATAAATAAATTTAATAAATGAAAATTAGGATTAAAAATTGCACCAAAGCATTGGCAAAAATAATATTCACTTTAGTACCTGAGATCGAACTCAGGACGTTGTGCTTGGGAGGCAGGCAGCAGAACCACTGAGCTAAATCTCCAATATTCTCTTTTAAAGTGTTCAGGTAGCCCAGGCCCGTTTTCCATGTCAGACCTTCTTGAACCCACAGGAGCGAAATACTTGTTTCATTGCATAACAATATCTAATTTACACTCATAGAATTTATCACTCTTAAAATTGTTCTTCTTTCTCATAAAGAGCTCCTGCCTTTCAAAAGCTGATTTTTTTCAAGGACTTTTCAGTTTACTTACTGTCTTTGTATATAGTATAGAATGTTGCTTATAAGAAAGACTATTAAGGAACCAAACCCTGTAAGTAATGTAAATAGAAAGATGGGTAGATAAAGTTTTAAACATGCTCTACTACCTCAGTTTACTTGATACTGCATTATAGATTTTCCTTTGCTTATCTGGTCTGAGATACATTTAATGCTAGCAAAGAAGGTGATTTCTGCTTTCATTTACTATTTTTGTCATAATTGATTAGCTTTTAAAAACCACTTAGACACTATAAATTTACTATATAACTCATCCATTCTTATTATTTAATGTTTTCATTAATTGGTGGACTGTTTTTATGAGTTTGTTTAGTCTTTTGGGTTATATTTTGCTTTGCTCTTTGTGTTTATTCGGGAGATTTTGAACTAGAAAAGAGGTTGTTTTAGTGGAACATAAATCTGAACTGAGTACTTGACATTTATTGGCCCATGTCCTAATAGCTGGTCGCACTTAGTACCTGAAGTCTCCCGTGGATACCTGCCAAAGAGAGTTTATGGACAAATTTCCTTAATTTAATTTTCTTATTGTATTCATTAATAAAATTCCTCTACTGTCTTTTTTTGAAATTCGGCACATTGATCTCTTTGGCAGAATTCAGAATCTAGAAAAGTTCCTGCATGGGCCACTGTACATTATTTTTGATTGTGGCTCAGAATATGTATCAAGTAGATAATAACTGTGTTTGGGTATTTCCTTAATCATTAGACTATTCTCAGTCCTATTTGAAATGTCTAATAAATTACTCTTTAGTAATAATTGTAATCTTTAATAAGCGATGGCTCATACTACTGTTACTCTTGAAACTAATCTTTGCTGAGATGGAAAAGACCTATAGTTTCTTAAGAACCATTCGCTAATCCTTATAGGATTCTTGAGTTTTATAATCCTTAGCCTTCTGTAATTTCTAATACCTTCATCATAATCATTCATTTGTTACACAAAGCCCAAGGAATGAGCTGCTACTACTCCATTAAAGTATGGTCTTTATGATGAATGTGAAGAGTTCTGGTCTCTTTAAAATAATTTTTTCAAATTCTTATGGTACAAGTATGTATTACACATAAAACACCTGTTGCAACAGGAAATGAAAAAGGGATCTTTTATATTACTGAATTAAAAAAATATATATATATCCTACTTGCTTTAAGTATCCTGGCATTTATTAATGTCTTAATTTTGAGTTTGAAAATATTAAGTGCAATAAACATACTAGCACAGATTTCATTTTGTTGGCAGTTGACATACAGGATGATTACAAAAAACATGATTTTACATAATGCCTACTCCTGGTAGATGTCTTATAAGAATATTTGCTTTCTCTTAAGTTATTTAGATGGTGGATATATAAAATGTACATATTTGTTCTTTGTTCTGAATACTTTTCTCAAATGTGCACTTGTATTATAATAACCTCCCAGTTCCAGGGGAAATTTGTGCAATAAACACACATGTCAATTTGTGTGATCTTGGTTTTTCGTTGATGTATTAATAAGATCGATGTAACATTGTGAACTCTTGATATCAGACCGCCTGGATTCTTGTCCCAATTTGGCACTTTGGGCATAAGGCCTGTCCATAATGGTAGAATTTACTTCATGAGGTTGTGAGAATTGAAGAAAATAATGAATGTCAGGAATTGAGCTTAATGCCAGTACACTCCAAATGCTTAATAACTTTTTAGCTGCTACATAATCTGTCCATCCTTTCTTTTATGATTATTTCCCTCTCTGTGATTAACACCGTGCTTTTGTTTTGTTTCGTGTCTGTTGTTTTTTTACGGTTTTGTTTTGTTGTTTGTTTTTTGTTTTGCAAAACTGGGGATTGAACTCAGGAACTTGTGCTTACTAGGCAGGCGTGGCACAACTAAGCTACCTCCCTAGCCCTGAGTGTTTTGTTTTTGTTTGTTTTGTTTTGAGACACATCTTACTATGTAGTTCAGGCTGACCTTGAGCTCACTGTGTATCCTAGGCTGGCCTCAATCTCGCAAGGATCTTCTTGCCTCAGCCTCGTGAGTACTAGGATTATAGGTATATTGATGGTTAAAGTTTTTTAACATGCATTCTTAGAAATAAAAACAAAAACAAAATTTAACACTATTATATTTTTACACCTGACCCCTTTTACAATGTTAAATTGAAAATTAATGCCAACTGAATCTCAAGCAACTAAGACCTAAACAAGCTACTTAAAACCATTCAGAACATCATTTCCAGTACAAATTACTATAGTCTTTGTAATTAAACAAAATGGTTTACTGGTTTTGGTTCTAATCCTGGTTTGTTGGTTGATTTGCACATGATTGAGCCAGTGTGTTCTCATGCTAAAGTCAGCTCTTGCCTTCATCTTTAGTTTCTCTGCTAGGTAGCAGTAACTCAGTCTCCAGTAGTCTTGTTGGGAAGCTGCTTTCCTCGTGCTTAGTTGGGCAGTTATGCCTGGAGGCAGGTCTAGACCAGAAGCTTTTTGGAATTCCTGTTTTCATATCCTATTACAAGTTAACACTTTCGCATTTAATTAAACAGAGTAAGTGTATTGTTTTAAAGCAGGAAGTGTCAAATATTTGGGACAGATTCCTTAGTTTAGAGCTGTTCACACATACAAACCCTGAGAACTATAGAGGGGTGATTTTTTTGCTAATGAGAAACTAAGGTACAGAAAATTGTACATGACTTCTGAGGTCCTACAGTCATTCCTGTATAGCTCATCTTATCTCAGACTAGGTTTGGGTTGATAGGTGTAAAGATATCTAAGTTTTCTTCATAAAGGTGTAGGGTAGCAAGTGAGACCAAACCCTGAGCTGTAGGTCCACTGGGAGGCTGGGAAATTGCATGTCTGTGGGAAAGGCTTAGGCAGATAGATGAGGAATGAGGGTACTTGCCATCATTGCTCAGTAATGCAGACTGTGGGCTTTAGCCATCTGTTAAGGCTTGTATCTAGATGCACCCCCCACCCCCCCCCGAAAAGCCTTAGGCTCAGGTGGGGCTTTTCAGAGCTAACTGGGTCCAAGATACATGAACTCTGACTAAGGGTGTATGATCCCGGAATTAGTCCACTGACTTTAAAAGTTCTGGGTGTGGATAATAGGAAGCCCTAACCTATGCATGAGTGGTACCACCCCAAAAGGCTTGTAGCCTAGACAGAAAGAAGGCAGGCTCCATGCTTGTGGCCTCCTGTCTGCCCTGCCACGGACTGTTTCTTCTCTGCAATGCCCTTTTGCCATGCTTCCCTGCCTTGGAGCCCATCAACTATGGACTGATACTCTACAAACTATGAGTTAAAATAAACCTTTCTTCCTCTTAACTTGGAGGTGTCAAGTATTTTGTCCCAGCAATGAGAAAAGTAACATATTATCTTTGCTCTAGATTTAAAATTGAGAATTCACTAAAACACAAGCAGTTCAAAACCGATTCCCAACATTATGTGTCAGGAGAATTCTGGTGAGGCATAAAGAATGTGCTCAGATCAGAGTACTCCCACTCCCCCAGGAACCAGGACTTTCCTTCTGGTGAACGTATGAACCTAGAGTAATCCCTTCATCAGAATGCATATACCTCTGTCTGGTTGACAATGTCTAATTAGAACTCCTGAAGATAAACCTGTATTTTTACTTTAGGAAGAATATTAAATTGGGGCTTGAGAGTTCTTCCAAAGGATTGTCTTCAAAAGGGCAATATAAAAACATATCTTTTCATTCACCTCAGTGCTCAGACTTAATGAAGGCATATTACTTTCCTATATTGTCTCTGTTGGTAAAATGTGTAAATACAAGGAAGCTATTGTTATTTCCTCATTAAACTTGTGGTAGCCCTCTTTTGGGACACATTTGGTACAGTACTTGCTAGTTAATCTTTTTCTACATTGTAGAGGCTGAAGTTAAAATGGGTCAGAATAGTCCAGAACCTGGGTTACAGTGCCTATTAGAAATACTTGGCTAGCCAGGATATGTACATTACTATCGTGTGTGTTTTTTTTTTTTTTTTACATGTACATACACACATTTTTTTTTCCTCTCAGCACTGGGGATCCAATCCAGGTCCTAGGACATGCTCAAGCATTTGAAATATTAATTCTCAGGCTTTTCCCCCAAAAGATTTATTCATTGATAATAACTGAGCCTGAATTTAGAAGAGAAAATACTCTATTGTTTTACTAGTAGTGACAAGTATACTACTTTAGCATACCCCAGATCTCAATTACCTACTTCGTCCTGGCTGCTATTAAAACCAGGGCTATTTACCTCCGTATTTTTGCTTATTTGAAGATGGTAATCATGATGATGATTTCATTCAGTTAACTAGTATTCAGTTTAGTGTAATGCAACAGGTATCTAGCCATATGTCTTTTCACTGGAAAGCAGTGAAGTGTGTGTGTGTGTTGAATAGGCATCTGATCCTCTTCTCTCAGCCTTCCAAGTAGTTGGGATTATAGGTGCACACCACCACAACCAGTTTCACGTACCTATCGCTCTAATGGTGAAATTCCCTTTAGTCTATAGATAGTTGTATTTGTTCATTCAGCAAATATTGAGTACCAATTATATGCTAGGCATAAGTTTGGGTGCTGTAGGTATACCATTAAATAACAAAAAATTTTTTTCTACTCTCATGGAGTTTACATAGTTCCCCTGTAGTAGAGGACTACTCATATGTAATACATTATCAAGTAGTAGGTATAATAAAAGTCAAGGTGTTAACCATGTTTTTGTTTTCCCACAATAAATTATTTGCATTCAAACCATTGTTTTTTTCTTTACATGTTAGTGTGAGTGAATCCTGTTTTAAAGATTGCCTTTTCTTTGAAGGCAGCTATTAAAGCTTTCACTGGTCCTCACTTTAGAAGAGCACTGGGCTGGGGATTTAGCTCAGCGGTTTGGTGGCCTGCCTTGCAAGCGCAAGGACCTGAATTCTATCCCTGGGACCAAAAAAAAAACCAAAGAAACTAGAAGAGCATAATACAAGACACTAAAGCACAAAGTAGATTTGGAAAATGTACCTATGGTTAATGGGTAGCTTATTTGTTTTCATTTGCTGTAATAAAATTACCAAAGTCTGGATAATATTTAAAGAAAACAGGTTTGTTTAGCTCAGTTTTTGCAGCTAGTAATAAAACCACAGTGCCAGTTCTGGCAAGGGGCCCCTCAGCAGCAGATGATATGGTGGGTGTTATGTCTTCTATCTAGATTCGCCTCAAAGCCTTTTGCTTTTCAGTTGGGATTTTTGGAGATGGCTGGATCTAGGATGTGTAATGTAGAAATTAAGAGTGTGTGATAATTAAATTGGTTTTGCATAGTTCTGGGTGTGGATAATGGAAGGTCCACCCTGGGTATGGGTGACATCAACCAATAGACTTGTAGCCTGGATGGGATATAAGGGAAAGGTGGGAGGCAAGCTGCTGCTGCTTGCTGCCTTCTGCCTTCCCTGACTTAAGACTGTTTCTCCACTGTGAAGCCCTTCTGCCATGCTGCCCTGCCTTCAAGACAACTGACTATGGACTGAAACCTCTACAAAATGAGCTAAAATAAACCTTTCCTCATTTGACTTTGGGTGTTGGGTACACTGCTACCTTGGTTCACAAACTTCATTGCAAACATATGCAAACAGAATCATGGGACTAATTCTGCAACCAGAATAATGGAAAGAATTAAGTTCATGATCCAAGGTACCACTGTATTTTGTCTCCGCAATGAGAAAAGTAAAGTGGGAATACATGCAAAAGGGAATGATCGAATGTGCTACGTTTTAGTTGTGTTGGGAGGTTGGTCCTCAGTGCACCACTGTTCAGAGTTGATGGACTTTGGAGAAGTGATCATAATGACACTCATTTCATCTACTGATAAGTACATCACTCAATGAGTTTACTTGGAGGTTGAGCCCAATTGTATGAAGCAAGTCACTGGGGGTGTACCTTTAAAGGATATATTTTGTCCCTAGCTCCTTTCTCTCTAGTTGTTTCACCCTCTCCTAGGCTACCATGAGATGATCAATTTTGTTTCACTATGCTCTTCTACCATGATGTTTTGTCCTCCCTCAGGCCCAAAATGATGAAGCCAGACTGAAATCTCTGAGAGACAGTCTTTGCTCTTAAGTTTTTCCTCAGGTATTTCATCACAATGAAAAGGTAACACATGGTAAGAAAGGAGTGACAGAAGGTAAGTCTCGTTCTTCTGTATCAACCCCTCTTGGCATTAACTGGGTTGCTGTAAGAACTGTGTTGATCCCTTTTGAAGGTATTGTCCCAATAACTACCTTCCATTAGGTCACACCTATTAAACTCCCACTACATTATCAATACACTGGGATCAAGCTTCTAAGACGAATCCTAGGGGGACACAATGCATATCGCTAGGATATGAACTATTTTTACTTTGTTTTGTAATAAAGCATTTTTGTATAATGATTCATTTTCTCATGAAATACACCAAAAAAGTGAATACATACTTATGTAACTATCGCTTAGTCCCAGAAGATCATTTTCAGCAATCGAGAAACAACCGCCTCCATGTGCTCTATCCTGTTCATAATCCTCTACTTTATGGTTTGTGTGACTACCAATGTGATCATTTTGTGAATATTTGCTTGATTTTTCTTTAAGATTTTGCTTGTATATATGCGTTGCCGCTGCCACTGTTTAATACAGCTTGAACTCTTTAAATGGAGTCATCCCCTCTGCTTTGGGTTTTTGTTCTCAACATTGTGTTAGATTCTTCAATGTGCTGTGTAATATATAATCTATTTTTATCCATTCTTTTAATTATGGGTGTCTATTTCTGGTTTTTGGCTACTATGAACAATAAACATTTTTACTTTTTTGTACACAGACATTTTTTAGGACTGTATATTAAGGACTGGACTTTCTGTCATTAGGTTATGCTTCAGGTTTAGATGACTTTTTTTTTTTCCCTCAGAATTATTTCCCAGTTTACACATACCCAGCCTTTGTAAGAATTCCTCTTGTTCCACATCTTCACCAATATTTAAATGTTTCTGAATTTAAATAAAAGGACAATTCACATTATTATTCAAATTTGAATGTTTTGGAGAAATTATTTCCTAAAGTCATAAAAATAATGCTTGAATTGTACAGGCAACATTGTAAATGCTTCACATGAAATATTTAATCTTAAAACCCTGTTACTCCCCTTTTATAGATGAAGAAATTGAAGTTCGGAGATAGTTTAATTTCAAGATAAGAGTGGGTGGACCTTGGTAGTGAAGTGCTACCACCATTTAGGGGGCCCTGGGTTTGACCCACAGCACCAAAAACGTTAACTTGCCCAACAAGAAATGGTCTCCTAAAGACACAAATTCAGATGTTTGCCCCTAAAGCCCAAAATCATGATGACCATAGTATATTCTTTCCAGATACTGTTACGACTTAGGCATTGAAGAATGGAAAACTTTTGTGATACTAGGCGATCTTTGAGGATGTTTATACACGTGTGTGTTTACACACACATGATGAGGAAAATAGGTCCTCTGCAAAGCCTAGTTATTTTCTCACCGTTACTATTTCTGTGACGGCTGAGCCACAGCTTCTCCGATAAGGTTTTTGCCCCAAACTCGAAAAAAATAGATGTACTAAGTATGTTGTAAACTTCAGGTTTAGGCAAGCCCCATGACCAACGGAAAACACAGCACTTACTGACATCATCTGTCATTACTCTAAATTGTAGCCTGAACTCCTTTTTCTTTTTATTACTCCAAAACAATTTCAATTCTTAACCACGTCATTACAAAGTTACCGTGAATCAGTCCTTATTTGAAAATTCCATGATAATCATAAATCACTGAGTTAATGAACGATGCTAAATGCTGTGAGAAATACTAAGTTGTACCTACATATGATAGCCCTCTGGTACCTTTAAAATTATGCGTAAAGGACAAGTCTACCATAGTGCTAGTGCAAACTGAGGCCGTGTGATTAGTGTGGCTCACCCGTGCATTAGTGAAAAATAGAGAAACAGCTGCTCTAAAACGATTGCGTCTGCAACTGTCAGTAACCTTTACTATTAAAGTTGCCTTGCAGCGAACTGCCCCAAGGGTGATATTTTTCGTACAAGTGACCAGTAAAGAAACCGAAATTGGCATCATTCGGTCTATTAGGAAACAGCACAATGCAGAAAGTGCAAACGCGTCCACTCTAAATTCGGACAACCCTCAGCCCAGGGCCCCCCGCCCCTCCTCGGTGCCACCATACAGCTTTGCCTCTTCCCTGCCCTCAAAACGTCGGACTTGTACAGAAAAAAAAAAATTCCTCGTGGGCGGCTTACACAAGGGATTTCGTTTAGCCGGAAGAGTCGCAGGGAAGGGCAGGGCGGACTTCCGCGTTTGCCGAATGGCGCCTTCGACTTCCGCACACTCCCGAAGAGCGGGGCGCTCGCACCCACTTCCGGATTTGGGTGCAAATCGTTCCATCCCCTCAGAATGCCCTCCCTGCAGCTCTGTCCCAACCGGAAACGCGGCGGACCCCCAAGAGCCTCGGGCGAGGTCTCGCGACGCGTGTAAATCTCACCCGGGGCGGGAAAAGGCCTGCTCGCGGCCGCGCCAGCTCTTACGTCACCCTCGGCGCTCGTTAGCGTGCGCACGCGTATTGCGCGTGCGCATTCCCTCTCCCCACCCCCGCGCGGGCTCCTTTCTGGCCAGTCGCGCGTGGGCTGAGGCCCTGGGCGGGCGTTGCGAAGGTTTGTTTGTTTGAGCCCGGACCCTGTCTGTCTGCAATTCCCTCGGGTGAGGAGGGCACACCCCCTACGTCAGTTGAATGGGCTGTCTCGTGGGCT